AAAGCTCATAATCATCCTCAATGGAAAAATCAAATCAATTATGTTATTTGTGGAGGCTATCAAGCTCAACTGCTTCAATAGAGAAATATAATTTTATTCTGGAGGCTTTGCCGCCGAATTTTAAGAAAACCTTAAGGAAAAATGGGAAAATTAAGGGAATGCTTAACCCCTATAGGGTAAGTGTTTGTTGTATTCTTTCAAAAAAAAAAAAAAAAGGTGTTTGTTGTGTGCTTGTGAGCAATTTATCCTCCATGGATGCTTGTGCTTCAAGATGGTTGTGCTTCAATGGAGAAATTATTTGGTGTACTGAGGATGACGGCAGTACAACTGTGTGAACATAATTACTTATGAAATGTGGATTTTACCAATATACCCCTTCTTTGACATGCAAGTTTACAAAAATACCCCTTGATAAACATATAAACTTGAATTTCGTCAAGGATGGGTGTCATATGAGTTACTAGGAAACAAGACATAATCGTGGCTAGGGGCTTTATCTTTAGTGCTTAAAGCATTCTAATCCCTGACATCCCTATAGAGCTTTATTTTGTATTTGTCTTATAATTCTGTGAACATTTACTTGACAACAACACAATAATGGGTCATTTGGGGCCGAAATTTGGGGATCTATCGTTTTTTAGGCGAAGGAACATCATGAAAGTTTCGGCTTTTCGAAAAGAACTGAGGTCTCAAAATACAAGTTCTAGCAACAAGGACTCCGAAAAAACACGAGAAGCTTCTAGAAGGTTCCAAACAACTCTATGAGGTTCTTTTGTAAGAGTATTATAACGAGAATGACTATGAAATATGTATTCAAGGAAAGTCTTGTACATAGTAGAATGTCTCTAGGAAGTCCTACGTATGTACATATGTGTTGTTATATTCTAGAGTGTTCGAAGGCACTCTTGTACATTTTAGTGTGTGTATGTATAAACCTTCATGTATACTCGTATATGTTTCTTTGGAGGTGGAAACACTCTAGATAATTATAGCCTAGAATCCACCGTACCATTTGAAAAGGTTATAAAGAATCTTGAGAAAGCTTATAAGTAGGATGGAGCACTATAAATAGACTTCAAGGATCAATTATACCTTCCAAGTTAAAAGTCCAATACAAGAAACAATCATAAGCACTTGTGTTCCCTTGTAACTCAATATTTTCCTTCATCCACAAAGAGTGTGTAGGGAAATTAAGGCACGAGGTTGGCAACTGAGTGGTTGGGCATACTAGTAAAGGGTCGTAATTTCAAACTAAGGCACTAAGCAAGGGAGAGTGCTTGGTTCAACCAAGGGGCTTTGCTTAGCACTAAGGGTAGCAAGTGCATTTGTTAACACAAGGGGTTGTGAGGAGTTGTGCCAAGGAGAAATTAAAGTGCATGACTAGGCCAAGTAGTCAGCATGCACGTGACACCAAGCTGGCCTCCAATGTCCATCGTAAGTGGACCTTACAAATCTGGTCGACTTGTATTAGTGACTCAATAATGACCATTTTATTACTCGAAATTGGATAATTTAAAATTTACATGAATTGGAATCAATTTGACCCGACTTCCCCAAAAATTTATGTGGATCATATTGATCTTTTTCCATTCTAAGATAATTAGCAATGAATTTTAATTGACCGAACCTTAATAAAACTTGTACTAAATGGTTTCTTATGGCCCAATTTCTTCTTACTTGAACCAATCAACTCAAGTTTCACCTCTGATTGATGAGATTGTGAAATCTTGTTTGTTAATTATAATAAAGAGGATAATGAGTCTAATCAAGTCATCAACTATCTAAATTTGGCTTAACCAAAACTCAATAATTACAACTTTGCTTGGTCAAGATTAGCTTGAAATTTGTTTCACGTTCAGTTATATTGAAATGAATTTAATTTGGTTTACATCAGTAGTATGTTAATCCTTTGAAGAAGATAAAATAATTAAATATGTAAATGTTGGAATTGAACCAAATCTAATAAGAATTTCTCAACCTGACTATATTAACCATGTACAGATAGTAAATTACTTTTTGCTACTACGGTTGATTGGGATATATTTAAATGTAACAAAAGGAGTAATTGAGGTCAATATATCGAAGATTCCTCACTCATGGCAATGTAAGGTCATATGTATTTTTTGATTTTAAAGCATAATTAAATGATATTAATTTTAGTGCAATTAAAATCATTTTACAAATTAAGCTACTCGAGCTCAAATTATTATTTATTTTTGTAAAAACCTTGTGAATGCTAATATATGCAAACATTGACTTATGATTAATCAATTCTAATTAGCAAGATAATAATTGAGTAAAAATTAGGTGAATGGAATAAGGCTTTAGCAAAATACTGATATAACTTCAAAGTATTAATAAAATAAATAAACTTGAAAGTGTATTTGTTTGGTTGGAACTTGTTACTTGAGATCAATTTATCCAAACTCAATTCAAACATAAAGGTCGAGGTGTTAATGATAGGTATATCATTTGTGCTAACAACAACGAAAAATGAAGAATTGATCAAGCAAGTACTGAAACAAGGAAAATTTTATTGGGGCAACCCAAGCACTAAGACAAAACCACCCATCCACTATGGAGAAAATTTTGATGGTGGTGAACACAAGCTCTCAATTACACTTTGAAAACTCACACTTCTTATTTCTTAATTATAACTTTACAAGTGGTTATTTTTCTCTCAATTTATTCTCACATCATAACCTAATAATGACATAACATGGGTAGGGCAGACATAAGAAACAATCCTACGGACATAAATATCCCACGATGCTTAATTGCAAGACTCGTAGAAAAACAAAGCAGGGCCTGGAACCTGACTTGCTCACTTAGCTCCCTCCCTCCTCAAACTATTCTGTTATCACATTGATTTGTACGTTAACCCATATAAAAATATTTAAATAATAAACACACTTTACTCGATCCGAACTAAAACATATCGGCTCAAAATAAAGAAGAGACCCAGGTTAATAACCTTGACAAACTTCAAAAGTTATCAAGGGTTACTTTCGACATTTTCCATGTTTAATCAGGCTGATATAGGTAATTTGAAGTGCAATGTAAAGGATGGGCGTGTAACTGGCGTTACCCAGTACAACTAACGCCGCTATGGGAAGATTCCTTTACTGAAGCTGATTCAACTTATCAAGTCATCATCCCTGACCTTTAGTTAACTTGTGTACTCCCTCTGTGTTTTAATAAGTGTTACAGTTTGACCAAACACGCATCTCGAGACATGACTTTGACCATTAATTTATCTAATTACCTGTTAGTAAAATCATAGGAAAATTGATATTATGAAAGTATACATTATAACAAATCCAAAAATGTATTATACTATAAAATTTGTTTTTTTATAAATTAGTTATTAATCAAGTCAAAACCATTATGTGAATAGTGAAAAAAGTCAAACTATAACATTTAATAAACACGGAGGGAGTATTGTTTTTGTTTTTCATGTTTTTCTTCTCCTCCACTATCTTCTTACTCTTGCTCTTACCCGAATCCCCACCCACACCTTTCACTGACACACCATTTCGATACCACCATTTTTGACACCGACACCGACACCTTTATCTTATTTGTCTCACCCCACCACCTTATTAGCGCCGCCAAATTAAATGAGACCTTAGAGAAAAGGGTGAAATTAAGGGCATGGTCAACCCCAAAGGAGAGGGGTGACCATGTCCTCCATTAAAATTGTCATTGAGTTTGAGTTTCTCCATTGAAGATTAATTACTTTCACCATTGAAACTTGACTACCTACGATAACAGTTACAACAAACCAATCACATATATTAAAGTGCCTCATTGTTCAAAAACCACTCAGCTATGTAAACAAGGCCGTAATCTCCTTCGACATCCCACAGTTTGAGCACTCTATTGTTTCTCTGTCCCCAACTTTTATCTTTCATTAAAAGTGTTTTGAGTTAAACTTACCATCTCTTTTAAAAAAGTAAAATTAAATCCTTGAATGGAGTGACGACGTTTTACAACATTTATCAAACTTCGTCAATATAATAAGTTAATGTCGTCAAGTTGCTCTTCAGAAGCCAGTAGAACTCTGCAAAAGTACCCCACCACATCTATGCTAATCTATTAAAAGGCGTTCTAAGAACGTTCACATGTCACATAAACCCCCTCACTACGCCACGTCACCCACTCAACTACTCATTACGCCACGTAGCTCTCCCTTCCAATTGTTTTTCATTACATGTCATGCACTTATAATAATAATAAAAAATGTTCTCCAAAATATTTGAACACGCAACCTCTAATTCTACAATTAAGTGTCTTACCACCAACTATGTGGTTTCTTATGCAATCTTTTGAATACAAAATATTAAAATGCAACAAATGACAATATGAACAACAAATTTAATCACTAGAAAATTGAATCATAAATTACAACATATATTAATGATCAGTTCCATATAACAATCTAGGGCATCGCCCTGGCCCAAAATCTAGTTATTATTTGTTTATTGGTATTTTGCAAAATCCAATGCATTTTTAAAATAATTACCACTTAATACACATTCCAAGAACAAACTCTTCATTTCCAAAAAAAGATTGATTTCCAAATCCAATGCATTTTATTTGTTTGATTTCCAAAAAAAGAAAAAAAACAAATCCAGACTCTTCATTTGGCATTGTTTTTTGTTTTATGTTTTCTGTTTATTTGAAAACAAAAAACCAAAAACAGGAAACAAGAAAAAGATGTTTCCACTTTTCTGTTGTCAGTTTTCAAAATTATCATAATTTTAATATGTTTGACTAGTTTTTTATTCATTATATGACATATAACATATGATTTTGAAAGACAAGAAACCAAAAAATAGAAAATCACAGCAATGCCAAACGAATCTAATTTCCGTTTAAACAAACATCGAAGAACAAACTCAATTTGTTATATGTCTTGAAGATTCTCACAAAAGAGTAAGGATCTCTCGCGCGTAAAGCAGAAGCTAAAGAAAGAACCCAATCTTACATGTCCAACCACAGTACTGCCACCTAGCGTCGAAATTTATTCATATAAATAATCCAGTATTTTGATATTACCAACAGTAACGACGCTTCTTTCTCTTTCTTGGCGCTTATTACAACACCCATTTTCTCTCTCCTCTGATCTCAACAAACAATGAAAATCCTTCATATTCCTTGTTTGGATGACAACTACTCTTACTTGTAATCTTCTTCTCCTTTATTAGGGTTTCATAGATTCCAATTTTCATTTTTCAATTGAATTCTGTTTGACGGAAAATTAAAATATTAATTTGTCGATTTTTTTTTTTTTTTTTTTTTGGAACAGGATTATTGATGAGCAGACGAAGGAAGCTGCAGTTGTTGATCCAGTTGAACCAGAGAAGGTTCTAGAAATTGCTAAGAACAATGATGCCAATGTCAAATTTGTTCTCACTACTCACCATCACTGGTATTTTTCTTCATTTCTAGATTTTTTAAAAAAATTTAATCATGTTTCTTCAACAATTAGGGTTTTTGACAGCTTAATTTTTGCAATTATATGTTTTCTGGTATGTTTTATGTTGATAAATGACTAAAAGAATATTTATATGTTTCGGAGTGATTCGAAGTTCGTCTATCCTGTGGGAATGACAAACAAGATATATTTGTTTATCAAATTTTGGACAATTGCCTGTTTATTTCAGAAAGGAGTACCTTCCGGACGAAGTCTTTCGGAATGAAATGGAATTATTTAGTCAAGGATTAAGAAGTAATGACCTATTGGGTTATTCAAATTAGACAAAAATCAAGGACTAGCATTGTGCTTTTTAAATTTGTATTGGTGACAATGGTTTTATATTTTTTTATTATGTGTTTGCATGCTGATATTATTCATAATACATTGCTGGTGCTAATCAGTCTATTGTTTATTTGTTATTCCTTACTTTGGCTTTATAGTTGTTATTTCACTGGCATTTCTGTTGCTGTACCGTGTTGTGGTGACCATTGACACAACAAAGATATGCATACGTTTACTTGGTGTTGCAATTTGACACTTCATGTGGTGGATCTTTAATAAAGACTAGAGAATGGGTGGGAGAAGAGTGTTATGGTATATGCTTTTTACACAAGAATGGATAGGCATTAGGCAATCTCTCTCTCTCTCTCTCTCTCTCTCTGTAGCCTTTTGGATTAGAGTGCACTGTTTGGTTTTGGGATCAAATTGTAGTTTATAGTTTAGAATGCTGCCCCATCACAAATAACAGTGTTCATTTCTTAAATTTTGAGTTGGGTGAGTCAAATAATGGGAATCACATCGGTATTCACCATCTATTCTCGAGTCTAATTGCCATAGTATTCTTTTTGATTGTTTAAATGTACGGGACTCTCTTGTTTCATCATGTCAAGAGTGCTGCACAAAACTTGCGACTTTGGGGTGCACGTAGGTGTCATTAGTAGTGGGAATCAAGTGTGAGAATAAGAGGTTATTCTCTAGGGTGCATAATGGGAATCTAGTTTGAAGACTTCTTGTTGGCGTAGAAATTCGTTAAGGATTTACTTTAGACTTCGGGTCCTCTCCTTTTCAGTTTTCACCACAATTATTACCTAGTTTACCGAAACAATCTACGGGGGAGACATAGGTACCCCCTTTTTTCTGTATACTTTCATGCCATAAAGGATGTATTGTCTAATACACAGCAACTTCTATGTACTATTAATTATAGAACTAATTAAGGATCTGTATGGTATTGTTGTATGGACTACCACTACCCATATTGCTGTGTTCATTGATGTCATTTGAGAACACACCTATTGTCTTACTTTTGGGACATAATTAAGAAATTTTAGTACCTTGATTTGGTACTTTATATCTTTCCTAATTGAATATGAACTCCTGATTTTCAGGGATCATGCCGGTGGAAATGATAAGATAAGAGAGCTGGTTCCTAGCATCAAGGTTTATGGTGGTTCGATTGATAATGTGAAAGGATGCACTAATAGATTGGACAATGGTGATAAGGTCTCGCTGGGAGCTGAAGTCAACATCTTGTCTCTTCATACACCTTGGTGAGTGAATTTGCTCATAACTCATTAGTCATTTGTACCTTAAGTGCACCTCTTGTATGCTGTGTCTTGTTGGAAGAAATCATATTTATCATGACTTGGTTTAAAGACTCACCTGCAAGTGAGCTGCCAACATTTTTGTCATTAAGTGGAGGAAATGGACTTTGGAAGTATGGAAACAGTCATCCGGTTTTACCATAATCACGATAATTGTTTGTTACTGGCAGTTGTTTTTTTCCCCTGAACTTGACAATTTATTCATAGGATTCATGCATATTCTTAATTTGACACTTTTTATCGATTGGATTTGTAATGAAAATGAAGATACCATTATTATATTGAATGTATTATCTCTGATCCTTTAATTTTAATCCTTAAGACTGCTGTTTAAAATAGGAGGTTTAAATCTGGACAAGAGAGTACGTTTTGAATTGCCTCATCTACACTCACTGATTATTTATGTTTTTGGCTGTCTGCGATGAAGTTGTTCCTTTTTTTAGGGTAGAATCACACTTGCTATTTTTCAATTTGCATCCTATTAGTTTTGACTTTAGAATCCAATCCTTTCTAGTCGCCCTAAGAAGGATGATGGCTCATCACCAGCCTTTTTCCTTGCATGAGATTATAAGTATGAAATAATTATGGTTATTTTAATTTGTCTGCAAGAGATTACTGGAATATCATTCCTGTATAGTTGTGTAACGGTTTTGCTTATCTTTGTCTTGCTCAGCCACACCAAAGGTCATATAAGTTACTATGTGACTGGCAAAGAAGATGAGAGCCCTGCTGTTTTCACTGGAGACACTATGGTATGACTGCGGGTAGTATGACAGGAGGCCTTACTATTGCTTTTTTTTTTTAGTTAATTGCTTTGCTGTTCCTTTTTTTCTTTTAATTAAAATAGAATTACTTCATAGGTTTTGTGACAAGTAAGGAAAGGTTGATTCATTTGTACAGTACACAAAAATATATCTCAACAATAGAAGTGGTAATTAGTAGTCACATATGCCAAGTACTGCGAGATATTGATTTTATTCTTTATTAGAGCCATCAAGCCCAAGCCCATTTATCTTCATGTCTTTATTCATTTATAAAAGCTAATGGTCTCATATGTAAATGTGATTTTTGTTGACAGTTCATTGCTGGTTGTGGCAAATTTTTTGAGGGTACAGCAGAGCAGATGTATCAGTCACTCTGCGTGACATTGGGTTCTTTGCCAAAGCTGACTAGAGTTTATTGCGGTCATGAGGTGAATGATTTTCTAAGATGTTCTGTAGTTGTTTGATTTCATTTATCTCTGAATCTTGGCTTATATTTCAGAAAAGCAGGTCCCATTGCTTCTGATCTCACAGTTTTAATTTCTCATTGGGTGCAGCATTTAATAGACCTACAGAAACTATTGATGTGGAATAAGGAACTAGATTTTATCAAATAAATAAATGTGAACTATGGAAAAAGAAATGTAAGCTACATTAAAGCCTAGGATAATCGGTTTGCAAGTTTCGGGCAAGCACTGCTGCTTGATTCTATTAACACTTTGTTCCATCTTTGTTGCTTGTGTCTAGACTCACCAAAATCCTTACAGAAACCCAAAATTTCCTACCCCTGAATTTTCAAGTGACCACATAATGGATTGGTGGTGGCTACGTTGGCCCTGAAGCTTACATTAATAGGACTATTCTTGAATAAATCTTTCTATCACCAAGTGAAATTTGAACATCAATCTAAATCTGCCCACCATCAACTGAAATTATTTGCAGCATCTTCCTTTCTCCATAGAACAAGGCACCTCAGAATAATGGATGTGTGTGTGTGTGTGCGTGTGAGCAAAATCCATCAAATGGAATTTTTTGACTTCCTTGTGTTTTTAGTTCTTTAAGGGACATCCACAACATGTGGTTGTAAATAGTTGCTGAAAAGTAAAATACATCATATTTGGATGTGGATTTTGTTCATTGATGACAGAGATGATAGAGGAGAATTTCTCCTTTGGTTGGCAAATGCTACAGTTTACCTTTGCTTATGTTTTCCTTTGTAACTCGTTAGAATGTCATATATCAGGCAATGGGACATCTCTACATCATTTATCTGAGAAGTTGAGAACTTGAAGGTTATATCCCTCAGCTCCAATCGGTTGATTGATTATCAAGCCTTGATGAGACATTCCATCTGCATTAGTTGATGCTTTCTCCCCCTTAATTTTGTTAATCTTGTCCAAACACCTCTCCCCCTGCACTGCCATCAAGAACCTCAACCATGCTATCTGCAGTCTGTAATCCCTGTTTGCTTCAATGACTTTAGTCTTTTTAGACTTATGCAAACCTTTTACAATTGCTACACTTGACTGAATTCTTTGCCAATTGTTAGAAAAATCTGGTGGTGAACCTGTACAAATAAGGACTGTATTAGTCAATCAAATTTACGAGGATGGACAAAGAAAGGGAAATGCCTATGAGCAGTTCCTGCACTTTTCTATTAAAATTCTTTCAACATGGTATAATAAAGATGGAATTTGGGTCTCCCTAGAGTCCCTGCCCATACTAAGAGAAAAACGAATTGTTCACTGTGCTTCCCCTTCTGTTTAGAATCACAGTCCATAGTTTCAAGTCACCAGTGTGTCCAATGGACTGCAAATCTAGAAGATGATTACTTCCCTTGTTGCCCGGGCTTATTGGGGAGGTCTTTGTTCTAGTTGTTTGAAAATGAAAGATACTTATATTTTAAGGAAAGGCTAAAAACTCTTATTTCCTGCCAATGCTGTTACAATAACGCAGGACATAGAAGTATACTGAACTGCTGCTGATTTTCTCTGTGATAAGTGATTGTCGTTATTGCTCACTTTTTCTCTTCTAATTGCAGTACACAGTGAAGAACCTTCAATTTGCTTTGACAGTTGAACCCGAAAATGCAAAGATAGCGGAGAAATTGGCATGGGCTCAGAACCAGCGAAATGCTGGCTTGCCTACTATTCCATCAACCATTGCGGAGGAGCTAGAAACTAACCCATTCATGCGGGTTGATATACCTGAGATTCAGGTATTTGTGTCGCACATTATTTCTGTTCAGTTTGCGATCTATGCTATCTGGGTTGAGTTAGGAGTTTTTTTATGTTATCTTAAAAAGTGTAAATCATCGAATTTCTCTTCAGAAACCCTTTTTTTTATTGGGATATTTGGCTGAATGTGAAATGCTCCAAGTCTCTGTCAGTATTGTTAGTGTAAAAGGGTCTGACACAGGATATACAAGATTCCTTCTTTTTACTAGAAAACCCCTTGTCCATATTTCATTATGGAGTAAACTTGGCTGCCCATATGTAACCTCCCCAACTTAAAGAACCCGACCATATGTGTACAACCAAGAATCACATCTCACATTGGCATGAACTTTGAAATTTGCTCATTGCGCCTGAAGAGTTCCAATTTCTTTCTTAATACTCTTTTATTCCCTAAATGTATGCTCCAAGTACATTTTACATGATTTTTAATATATAGTTGAGTGGAGTCGATCAAAAGGTAAAATATTGGGACCATATTGTTAATGAGAGATTAATGGGATCATTTTGTTAATGAGAGATTAATGGGGTCATTTTGTTAATGAAGCATGCATATAACCATATCCATATAGGGACATAAGGAGTACTCCCTCTGTTTTGTAGCAACGAATACCAAGGAAAAGTGAAAATGGGGACCATGCATGTGAGTACTTTTGCTTTCAAGAGGAGAGAGATAGAGAGTAAGAGATTTATTAAATTAAACTGGGTTCACAAAGTGGGGTTGTAGGGTGATAAAAAATGAATAAAAGGTTTCCATAAAAGGAATAAAGTAAAAGTGAGTAGAACTTAGAAAAACGGATGCGAACGAAAAGTGAGTAACACCAAGGAAAACGGAGGAAGTACTTCGGTATTAAATATTCTGATAAGAGGCCTTGAGGGTTGTGATGAAAAAATGGGTATAATACATCAGTATGGAAAGAATTATATTGTTAATTATGCTTAATTAGAGAGTGAGCTCATTTGTAGACTCGATTAAGAACCTTTACCATCAATTAAGATGATGACTGTTTTTTTCCACCTTTGTTTCTATGTGCTTGTCATTGTATTTCATAGTTGAGTTAGATTGTTATCATCTTTGAATGTACTCCCTCCATTCCACAAAGAACTACTCACTGTAGATGCACAATTTTATGCAAGTAGCCAAGTATGAATAAAATATATATTATACTCTGCTAAAATAGGATTAAAATGAATAGTTCTTTTTGGAATAGACGAAAGTAGAAAGTGAGTAGTTCTTTGTGGAACAGAGAGAGTATAGATGGAAAAAAGGTTAGTTATTACTCTTTGTATCTCAATTTATTTGCTCCATAAGCAGAAGGCACAATATCTTAGAAGTGAATGAGTTAGTGTGGGTTGTGGAACCAAACTTAATTAAAAGTAGAGGAGAGGTTTTCCATAAAAAAGCATGGGGCAAGTAATTTGAGACATAAAAAAAGGAAAATGAGGCAAATAATTGAGACGCGGAGGGAGTGTATTAAAGTATTTCTCAATATTATAGTTATTTATACAAACTTTATGTTTAATTTTTGCATAATTCAAAGAAACTTGTATAATTACAAGTGACCTAAATTATGTTTAATTTTTGCATTATAAAATTTTACCTTGTTATTAGTTTGCATTGAAATCTTTTAAGTTATAGTGGTCCAGTGGGAATGTGTTATTATATTGCACTGTCAAATGTGAAGTTGCTGTTTAATAGCGATAAAAAAAAATAAAAAATTAAAAACATTATCTTATTAGTAATTCAACATGCAAAATGCACTCATGTTGTTTTGAGAATTTTCCCTATTATAATAGAAAGTATTTCTGAAAAATTTTATGTATATTTTTCATTTAAAAAGAACACGAGCATTAAAGTTTGACATCATTAAGAGAAAACAATGGGATCATCATTTTGAATTTTGAACTTTTGTGTGTAATCTTTATTAAGTTTTGGTGTAATTAACAATATACAGAATTATGCTAGCTTGGTTTCTCGAAATGTATGTACACCATAATGACTTTTCTGTTTGGAACAGCTAAAGTTTGAGAAATTGATACCAGATTTTTTTTATTATAGTGAACTCAGCTGTTCTTTCTCAAACAGCCGAGTCTAATACGCTTATCATGTTTTCAGGTGTCTCATTGTTTCGCTCTTATATCCTTTTTTTTTATTTTATTTTGCAGCAAAAACTTGGTCTCAACTCCCCAGTAGAAGCCCTTCGCGAAATAAGGAAACTTAAAGATAACTGGAGAGGCTAACGGAGGGCTTACCAACGGGTGTGTAATTCTAGTCTGTAAATTTATGGATGTCGTTCTTGATCAGAGTCAGCATTTTAATAAATCTCTGGCATCCAACTTTCCAAATTTTCTGGAAATAATAATGTACTTTTCAAGGAGAGCTTAAGAAATATTTTACCACTTTATTAGACTGCATTAGTTTTAGTCAAGAGATGATGCTAGTATTTGTGTGTCCTAAAGCATTTCCCCCATTTTCAGACACTTTAATCAACAATCAATTCATTTAAAACAATGATAAAGTAAACCCCATGTGAGTTTCATTGCAATATGCATTACCCTTTACATCCCATGGAACATACCTTGCCTTTGATCCCTAGACAATGCTCTTTTTGCTCCTTTATTTCTTGCTTTTCCTTTTCTCGAGCCGTCACCGTTCGTGGTCGAGGATTACGTACCTACATATACTACTTGATTATTATTGTGGTTCTAATTATTATCATTGTATTATTAAGGGGTTAATCATATATTATCATCGGCTTATCGCTCGTAAAAGGCGTGAGCCGTATGACTACTGTTATTTAGGACAAGCTATGTTCCCCATGATTGCAACTTGCACACAAAATGTGGGATAGGATACAAAATATCATATGGTTTTGAAAGTGAAGTAATAATCTATGGTTCAAATAATGGGTGCAAAGCACTAACTTTGAAAGGGAATCGAGCCTTCATTGATTCTTTTAGTTGGCTTGATGGGGAACAGCAAGGTTCCGTTTCCAGCTAGAACAAGTGTAGCCGATAAGTCCCACAACATGAACACTAATAAGAACACCCCATATTTATGCCCTGGACCATGACGCTTTTGTCTCATGTCTACATCAACTTATAAATTAGGACTCCTTTTAGGGTAGGTAATTGTGCCCTTTTTCCATTCGGGTTGGCAGTGTTCGCTTCGGTTGGGTAAAACCGTAAAATACATGCAATTACTAGAATAATTGGCATAGTTTGACTTTCTACACTATTAATCTATCAACTTTGACTATATATTTAAACTCTGAATAATTATACTAGTTCTCTTCGCTTTACCGTCACGTTCATCATATTTGGTTCCACTAATTTTCTCTCTTGTCAGCCCGGCTTAACCAAAAATCAAATAAAAGTAATTGTGCTTCCATAACACAAACAAAAGGGAACAGATCGTTTATCCTTTACGAGCGAAGGAGTTTAACTTTGACTTTCGACTAGCCATCTAAAATCATTGACACTAATTGGAAATTGTAACAACATGTAGCACAAAGTTGCCATTTTCTTCTCAACCATGTAAACAAGAAATAACCTCGCACTTTTTGTGGCTTTCTTGCTGGTATCGTGGGTCATTGTTGCTTTGGAGTTATAGGCAAAGGCAACTAGAAAATAACGGAGGGGAATGTAAAAATATACGAAGTATTTTCTTCTCAATTATATGCCTTTATTGTCTTGAATTACTTGGTTGAGTACACAGGTGGCTGAAATTTGGAGGTAAGAATTTTTTTTTTTTTTTTTTAACATATTAGGCCTTGTTTTTTTTATACTGAATTAACTGAACTAAATCCCAAAATATCATGCATAAGACATAACCTTAAAATAAAACTTAAAGAGTCGTGTTACATTACATGTATTTCCAAATTCACTTTCATAAAAAGTGTTTCCAAAATCCCAAGTAATGTTAAATAGACTAAATATCACAATTTCATGTATATTTCATGTTATGGTGTAATATTTACCAGTTTCATATTATACTTCGTTTTTTTAAGTGCAATATTTTGAATTTTACATATGTATAGTAACATCAATTAAATCATCATTGTGGTAAACTTATGTGAAGTATCCACCACGTACTACTTGTTCGTAGTGTTAGATGGTTGTTTAAATTCTTTGATGTAGCTCATGTGAAACGAGCGAGACACCATGTAGCTTATTTTATGGCAAAATGAGATTGATTTGATGAATGGTTTGTATTAGCTTTTTTTTTGTTGATTGTTTCACTTTTTATTTGTTCAAAAATATATTTGGCAAAATTAGTTAGATGTAAGATGTTATTAGTAATTAAGATACGTATCCAATCAAATTTAGCCCAAGTCCCCGAGCAACCTTTTCATTTTGGTTTAAAAGCTTTTCGCTAGACCATAAGTTCGATATTTGATAAGATCATTTGATGAAATTAAAATGCCAAAAGTGAATAAATAAAAATAAAAAAAAAATTTAAAAAAAAGAAGCCAAAGAAAAGTTATTTATCAAACAGGCCATAATGTAATGTCAAATATTAGTTCTTTCCCTCGAAGCTTTAAGACTTTGGTGAAAATTGATTTACTAGTACAATAATACCTCTCAAACTTTGTTTTCGTTAAAAAAAAAAAAAAAAAGTCCCAAAAGTAATGAAGTTAAAGTTTGAATCTTGGGTTGAATCGGATACTCGATCATAATTTCTTTAGTTGTGAATGTTACACAATTTGTTTGAAAGACATAATAATAAGGGTGTTGTTGACATGAAACAAACGGCCAGTAAAATTGTGAAGATTACTTTCATTGAGATGTCTGCCACCAAGTTGTTGGCCGCAACAACAAAAATGGTCAACTTTCTTTGGATCACACTTCACATGCTTAGTATTTTCAGTGTGCTTCATCATATAAATAATTAAAATGGGGGAGATTAAATGAAAAGTAAATGATGACAATTTGAAATTTTATAGAAAGCTAGCCTTGTAATAGTGGTCACCATTAGCCAATTCATATGTAATTTACCCAGGCTAGTTTTCATGTTTGCATGCATGTTGTTGGAGAGAAGTCCACAAACCAAAGCCCACAATAAGGTTTTCATCCTAAAATTAATCGTCAATAGGAGGAGTAGTCCGCTTGAGTTATAAATTGAAAGCCTTTTGCTTTTCTTTTCAATGTGGGACAAACATTACTCACACTTGCACCTAACACCAATAAATTTATAGTGAGGATATGAGAACATTGTCAAAATTCCAAATTATAACTAAGATATTTGGGGATATGACTGAATTATAAAAGATAATCAAATTAGAACTTCACGTCTTTACTCCACTAACATTGGTCTTGTTATACACATTAGTTATCAACTGCGAATTTATAATTATTAGCTTTAGTTGGAGATTCACCCTATAATTTTGATGCTCGGTATGACTTGATTAAATGCTCCTAAACTTGTTGTGATACTTAGGGTGAGGATCTCTTATCCTATTCTGTCACTTTAAGTGTCTGGTTTGTAATTGTAAGATAAAAAAAATTCTAAAGATTGATACTCTATTCGTGTTTAAAAAATGAAACGTTTTTCTTTTTCGGCCGTATTTAAATAAATGAAACTTTTTTTTTTTTTTTTTAAAGTAACTTCTCTCTATTTTTTAATATTTCTATTCTTTCTAATTTTTTAATAACATTCTACTAACTAATGGTCCCCATAAAATCCTTTACTTTCTTCCCTCTCCTCAACTTATAACCCACTACCTATTATTTTAATAAATTCAACTAACCTTCTTACAATTCCGTAAAAGTTAAAATATTTTATTTATTTAAATACAAAAGGAGTATCTGATTAAAGTCTAGATAATGTCTTTCTATTAACCTATTAAAAAACAATAATTATTCACCACTCTTACATACGGAGTAATCAACTTATATAGACACTCAGTCAAATGTACTTGCATAATCAGCTAACCTCTATTTGCCAAACAATTAAACATGGCCCCCCTAGTAATAACTTCAGCCAAAAAAAAACCAAAAATTGTTTACTCTAGTATACACGTGCACGCAAAGTAGGGGGTAAATATACAGATGTATATGATGTTCATGTACTCTAATAAATCTTCTTTTTGAAACTCTAATAAATCTTCAAATAAAAAAAAAATTAAAATATATATATATGCAAGTATACAATACACCTCATAGAAATGCAGAAAATAAGGTGAATGTGAATGGAGCTGATTGTTTAATCTGGTAGAGTAATAAACAGCATTCTAGTTGTTGTTGGGTTATGTAGCTGGGATTAGATTCATCAAAATTATATAGCTTGTCTTCTTCTCCATACCTATATAGCTAAGCTAGCTAGGTAGTAACGTAGACTGATAGTGTGGATAAAAAAGATTCATTGGAAGATAAAATTATAATCTAATATATTCCCCGTGAATCAAACCTCTTTTCCATGAGGGCTAATTAGGGTTCAAATTATATGTGCATTAAATATTCAATCAATTAGTTTGGAGCGAATTGAATCTTGTTTGTACTCCCTCCGTTAATTTTTATTTACAATTTTGGGAAACTTTACGGTTCACGAGGCAAAATTTAATAATGGTGATTAATGTATTATAGGGGTATGTAATTAAGGTGGAGAGAGAATGTTTGGATAATTAATTAACCACCCACTGCCACCACCAAGACCGGCCAACACCACCGCCGCCTTCACCAACACCACCGCCACCTTCACCACCACCGCAACAAACCCCACGAAAGCACCACCACCCTCACGAAAACCCACCACCCTCACGAAATCACCACCGTACCACCCACAAAAACCCAGGCCACCACCTCCAAACAACCCCACGAAATCCAAAACCCACCCACCAAAACCCAGATCTACGACCACCCACAAAACCCAAATCCACGACCACCCACCAAACAAATCCACGACCACCCACCAAAACCCATCAACGGAACCACGAAAACCAACCCATCGAACACGACAACCCACGAAAACCAACCCACCAGAAACTAAACCCCCAACTCGAACCCAAAACCATGACCCACACCGCCTTCACCACCACCACCTCCAAACAACCCCACGAAATCGACCTCTACGAAACCCACCACCACCTCCAAACAACCCCCGTACCAGCCACAAAAACCCAGGCCACGATCTCCAAACAACCCCACGAAATTGACCTCTACGAAACCCACCACCACCTCCAAACAACCCCCATACCACCCACTAAAACCCAGGCCACCACCTCCAAATAATTCCCACGAAATTGACCTCTACGAAACCCACCATCACCCCCACGAAATCACCACCGTACCACCCACAAAAACCCAGGCCACCACCTCCAAACAACACCATGAAATCAACCTCTACGAAACCCACCACCACCCCCACGAAATCCACGCCCACAAACTCCCAAAAATCCAGCGAAATTGTTGAAGTTGAAGAGAAAGAAAGAAGATTTGTAAAAAAATCAAAGGGATAATGAGATTGAAAGAGGAGAGAGAAAATATGGGGGAAGATGAAGATGAATGAAGATGGTTTTGGGTTTCTTGAATTGAAGATGAAGAGTTGATGAATTAGATTAGGTTGGTTGGGGTGAAAATTAGGTGAGAATTAGTGATTAATAAAATCTGATTATAGTTAGTAAATTGTGTTTAATTTTTTAAATGAGGGTAAAATTGACATTTGACTAGTTTTTTTTTACTAAAAGAGGAAAGAAAATAGAAAGTTGCAAATAATTTTTAGCGGACTAAAATGGCAAAAGTTGCAAATAAAAATTAACGGAGGGAGTATGTTTTTTGGGTTGTAATTAGAGTTCAATTATAGGCGGATTAATATTAGAGCATTTTCAATAGTTATAATTATTAATTCTCATCTTAGGTTTACTACTTTACTACGGAGTATATACAGAGTACTATATATTATATATTTTTCAGTTTTTATGAGAATATTATTTTATTATGTCGGGTTTTAATAATCAAGAGTTATTGTAACCGTGTTATTATCATGCGGCATGTATGCACAATAACAAGATAATTTGAAAATTTACTTGCCATTTAAGATGCTCTAACTTTGTAATGTTTTCTTTACAGAGTAACAAAATTTTCATGGATAATGATATATGTAGCCATTAGGCTACAAATAAGCATCTAATATACCTTTTTTTATTTGAAACTAAATTAATTTTAAAATACATGATAAAATTACGTATAGATAGGTGTAATAAATGTTATTTCGTATGTTTAATGTATTTTCTCTATTTTAAAGCTTCTTATATTTTGTAGCTCTAAAGGTTATGTATATCGTTTTCCGATCTTATTTTTTTTGGAGCCAGAAAGAACTTATTCTAAGATAAACATCTTACTTAACATACATTCTCTTCACCTAAACTCTTAAAACCTAACTTTTTAGATCCAATAAACCCTTATTTTCTCTTTAAATGACATAATAATAGGACATAATTAGCCCTAAATTTTTTAATGTATTTTATAAAGGTGAATGCATTAAACTATTGAAGCGACATGAAAAGACAATAACCAACCAAAATAAAAAGGCAATTAAATAAGAGAGGTAGCCACGTAAACTGGGAACTCACAAATTTGCCTTTTGTGGGTTTTTTCATGACCGAAGAGAAAAAAAGGGGAAACCAATAGTAGTAACATGCCACTAACCCACATCAGACATCAGATATAGGAGAGAGAAACAACCATTTTCATACCAGTACCAAACAACTGTTTTAGTCCCTATTTTTTGAGCTAATGTGATTTGTTTTGCTCTACTCTGTTAAGTCCTGTTTTGGTGAATATGAATAAGTTACTCTGCTTTATTGATATCTACTCTGCTCTGCTCTGCTGACACCTCCTTTGTTCTGCTCTGCTTGTCTAGAAACTCAAAAGAACAAGGCCTTATTCGCATTTGCTGTTTGGGTTTGGTTGGGCCTAGTTGGGTTCGGTATAGTTCGAGTTTAAGTATGTAAAATTTTAACATTATTGTGTGATTTATGTCTATACAAGTTGAAACTTGGATGGTTGGATTGCACTACTTTCTAATTGGGTAAGGCAGTTTTTGACACCTTTATTTGCGTTAATTATGTAGCATTGGCTAAAAAATTTCAACAGAAATGGGCTAAAATTCTCGTCAAAAAATTTAAGCCAATGCCAACATTTTTGTACATAAAATTAAAAATAGACATATAATCCGTAGATGTCTTTTAAAATCGTTTCAATATTAATAGTTAAAAATATCAATGGTCAAAGTTTCTGTATCGACAATTTGACATATTCACATTTCACATACGACGACAATAGTGTACGTGGAGTTTAATGGTCAAAACTAAAAGTGAGTGATAGTCCCACAGCCTAACTACGCTCCAACAAAATTAAAACTTGGTACATACCATCACCTAACCCCAATTCTTTCATCTTCCTCTCTTCATTCCTTTTACTTATCAAACTATAATTTTCCCAGTAACTTCTTCAGAAATATTACCTTGATTAGTTATTAGAAAATAAAAAAAATCGAGGAAAGAAAACCAGACGGACAACCTGAATCATCCTTTTCCGAAAAAAATAAAATAATAACCCGGGTCATCGGTCGGTCCTATGTTTGTAACTCTCTCAATATGAAATATGAATAGTCAAATAATAAAAGAGAAAACTTGGGTGTAAAAATAGATTTGGTAGAGATTTGAAGGTCGCTTTCTGTTTTCTGACTCTCATGAAAGACAATGACCCTTCTATTCATATTCATATTCATTCATTAATTCTCTCCTTCTTCATTCTTCTCCTTATAAATCTCACTGCCTCTTCTTTCTTTCTCTGAGCCTCTCTTACTTAAATCAAGTACGGAAGTACATCTAAATCGTCGTCGTACACAACATGTCTCAGCTCGACACTCTATCTGCTGCTCGATTAGCTTCCCTTCTCTAGTTCTTTTTTAAATTCTTAAATTGTGATTACTGCTTATAATTATATTTTTCCCTTTATTTAAGGGTTTGTTTACTTATTTGATTTGATGGGTTCTTGTCTAAAATCCAAAAAAATAAATATTTTTTTTTTTAAATTTTTAGGAAAAATTAAGAGTGCACATTTTGGTGGTGGGGTTGTTGTAAATATTTTCTCAGGTGGAGTGTGGATTTAGTGAATGATTGTGTAGTCTTATCAATGTTGTCTCTGAACAAAAACATTTTTTTCTACAGTTTTTTTTTTAAAAAAAAAGAATTATTATTATTAATTTGAGAATAAAATTATATTTAGAGTGTACTTTGATGGTCAGGGTGAGATCATATCAATAGTCAGTATTCTGCCTTAAATAGATTTACATGATTCCCCATTTTAGATTCTTTTTTCATCAATCTAAGCTTTTTTGTCTTTCTCTCTCTAACATATTCTCTCTCTAAATTCAGGGTGTTTTTTCATGTCTACTCTATAATTTTAGATTCACTAATTGCATGGTTTTGAATGATTATTTTAAATAAATTTGACTAATTTTAAAAAAATCAGTTTGCTTTTGTGATTTATGCTCCCTATGTTAATTTTTTGTAACTTGATCTGTCCCCTCTTTTTTTTTACTTGTTCTTCTCCCTAGCATTATGGGTTTATTATAATTTATTTTTATTTATGTGTTTTTAATTTGTAATTTTTTCATATTAATTAACAGTAATAAGTTTTTTTTATTACAGTTGATAAAGCTTTACATTAGGGTTAGGGTTTGTTTAAGAAATTGCTATGTTCAGTAAGGGTGATTGTTAGTGGTGGGTTTTTTTGTTTGTTTGTTTGCTTGTTTGTTTATTATGGTATGTTAATTAGTTTAATTATGCTGATTAGTTTCTTATGAAATTTTTCATTTTTTTTGTTTCTTACAATTAGAAATATGTTAATGCAATTTTATCATTTCTTCTAATTAATTTTGTTTCTAACTAATTATACTCATGCTAATTGCTAATCACTATTGTTTTTTTTTTTTTTTGTTGAATTTAGTTTCTTTAACCTTGACTGAGTCTTTACTCTCTTGAATTAATTACTTTATGTTTTAGAGGAACCTTTCTTTATTTATTTATTTTTTTTCTATGCAATCGACACGACATGACACGAATGTCTTTGTGTAATTTAATTATTTTGATTGAATGGAAGCTTATATATATCATTTATTTAATTCAAATGAACACCTTAGTTTACAACAATTGATTTGTTTGAATGAAACTGAAAATATTTCTGTTCAAATCACATGAATTTCATTGTTCGTTGTTGATTATATTTATGCATTCACTTTAATATCAATATTCCTGTTCACTTCACAAGTTAACATGAATTCCTAAGCTCTCATATCTTCAAATGAATCGATGTTCGAAGAAAGTCGAAAATCATTTGTTTGTCTAATACAAGAATGTAGTAGTTATGTTGTAATTGCATGTGTTAGAATTTACATTTGGAAATGTTAGAATGAAGAAGTAGTGTAAGAGAGCTTCCTTCAGCCCACTCATGGATGGAAAAAAGGGGTATTGAATTATCTGCCGACTCATTCATTCAAACACTTAGTAGAACGAAAGATTATCGAAATGGTTACGGTACTACTGTGATTGCATGAATGATGCGGGAGATAGTTTCATCCTTCTCTATCTTTGCTTGGACTGAAGGGAGCTCCCTTTTTCTATTCCCTTCTTTTTTTGCATCATTTGATTCGACTCGAGTTAGTCTATGAAGATGATTTTGGCTTGATTGCATATATATGTTCATGATTAAATTGCTATTGTATAATTCTAATGTTATTCCATGGTTTAGTTGTGGTATTAATTGTTTAGAATTTCCTTTCTATCCCTTATTTTTCTCATTGTTTTGATCATGACATTGACCTGGTTTCTCTATATAATCATTTTGGTGTATGAAACGCGGCACACTTGTAAGCCGGATGGTCTAATCATGGATGATGGAGCTGATCAGCAAGCTTATTGCTTCAGAGTACACCAGTTGAGGTATTCTGATCTTGTAACAAATTTCGTTCATCAATGTTCGGCATTCTATTTTTTCATTCTTTGCTCGATATCTCTTGATATTTCTGTATTGAGTGTTGATTATGCATAACATCTTGCAATGTAGACTTATATTGAAGTATTAATGATTTGGCGCTTGTATTAGAGGTTGCATGAAATATACTAGCTTTGCCGAGATCATTAACAAACTATTGCTCTGCACAGAATATAGATAATTAGGGCCTTAGGAGAGACGTGAGTAATGATCGGAATCAGAAATAAGAATTATATATTTGATGTTCATAGCTAGATACTTGATTTTTCCCCCTGTAAAAAATTCTTAGATATGTCTTGTCTCCTAATTCTTGAGGTTTGAATCATGTCAATTTTTGGTGATTATAATTTTCTGCCAAATAATCTATGCCCTTCGCTGTAGAGAAGGTTTGCGTATACTAATACTATGCTTCAGTTAGCATAGCTTGATAACATGGTAATCGTGATCATTTCATTGTTGACCTTCACTTATGTTGGCTGAGGCATTGTTGGTTCAAAAACCTCGAGTTTTTACAGGAAGAATATATGTTTGAGGTCATTGCAATGAACATACCTTTAACTTTGTCTTCTAATTCAGTGTGTGAAGTCTTTGTCATGATAGGTCAGAATGTGTTGCTAAATATGTTGCTTGGACTTTTCATTTCACCTTAATTAGTAAGTACTTGTGTTTTCGACTATGTTCATTTGTCATTAGATAGCAAAATGTGGTGCTTTTACTTATGCTTGTGTCTGAAATGAGTACCCTAGTCGGAGTACTATAAAGATTCTAGTACATGTCCGCCTTGTATAGTTGTATATACCTTTGTTCAATGAATCTCTTAAGTACATAAGTTGTGATCATTTCATCTCAAATGTGATTTTAGTGCTATTAATGACTTGCATTTATGTGGTTTCCTATTCCAGGCGCAAATCGATGTCTGCGAAATCCTGAAAATTCTTCCATAGATCCCACAACAATGGTAATGTTTCTCATTTCTATATATTTTGTCAATCTTGAAAGTGATTGTAGTTGTGCATGCCGTAAGTTTAATCGTTGCTTATGATTGATCCAGGTAAATGGTCTTTCAACGGAGTAATGGAGTATATATGTAAAAATCATATCCCTTGGTTACTAGAGTGTGGATTTTGAACTGAAATGCTGAAGTCCCGAGCATTTTGTTGGTCCAGATACCAGAATGCATCCATGGTTCTGCATGCTGGGAATATTATGCCGAGGTATTTTCTCTTCCTTCTACACCTCCTCCCACCTCTCCAAAAGATGCAGTTAGAACAAAGCAGCTCATTGGCCTAGTAAACCGACATTCAATTTTCATTAGGCGGTGGAACTCCCTTTTTTATGATGGAATTGGAAAAGGGTAAAGGGAAGTAAGCATGGTACAGGCTACTCTTTTTAAAAGTACAATCTTAATTAATAACTTTGTATGATATTTGTTAAAAACTTTGCTTAAAATGTGCTTAGTTTAATGATAACTTGCTCACAAGTACAGATTCTCGTGGGTATTTTAGCATCAAATGCTCAGTTCATCGAGTTCTCCGAGGATGCAAGTACAACCCTAACCCAATATTATTTTCATTTGAAATCGCGCTCATGTCTTTGTGCTTGCTTTATTTCTAATTCAAATAATGCGGCTGCTACTTTGTTTAATTAAATTTTCAATATTTTAGTGGGTTTACTGATGTCATATACCGGAGTAATTGGATTATATTTTTGCAAATTATTAAATGTCTTTATATTACCCTGGAATCTCAGCTCATTAATTAGAATCATCTTTGGCACATTGTTAACACCTAATTCCTCTTGGTATTTACCAAATAAGGATGACTTTTACTTCTTGGTACATTGTCTCTTTTGGCAATAGGTTTAGTTTGAAAATTAATAAGTATCGTTATTACAAACTACTATCATTGTTTTATTATTAATACTCCTTCAGTATCTTAAAGTCATTGTTCTAATAGGAAAAACACTCAGTTGTGCTGAGACCGTGATAGTTTTTATTTTATTTATTTATAAAAAAAAAAAACAGAATGACAGTAATTTATAACACTTTGAACAAGAGCACTAGTTTGTTTTATTGATTTATTTATTTATAATAGATTTTCCTTATTTTTGTAATAGAGTTTGGGTACAAAGGAGTTTTATATTTTTAAAAAAAATATTATTTTGGTCAAGATGAAATATAGGAATCAGTTAAATGTGGTCCAAAAAAGAATTAAAAAAAAATAGAGTTCAGAAAGAATCAGAGAGAAATGTTAGATGTTGTATAGTTTATACAGTATAGTATGAATAGTGGTCCCAATAATACATTGTTGTAGTTGTAGTTGTAATGTTTTGTTCCTTCTTTTGAGGTGAACAAGTAAAGCTTTGAAGTGGTTTAGCCTAGATTTCTGGTGCACTCTTTAATCTTCATAACTGTGAAAAGCCTATTGTGTCATTGTGTGTAGCCTTATTTAAGAGTACGTTGTGTGTCATTATTTCTTTTCCAGTTTTGGGTCAGAATATGTCATGATTTAGAGTTCAGTTTTCCTTTTTGTGCTACTGGATTGGTCATAATAAAACCAGGTAAATACTAAACATTGTTTGCCTTTTCTGTTTTAAGTTTATTAACCGTTATCAGTCCAGCTTTGCAAGTTAGACCTTTGGGAGCGAGAAGAGAATGAATCAGACATCCCACATTGTAGTGATTGTAATATGTATTTGGTGTGGATCATTAAGGGTACTAGGTAGAATAATTAACAAATACTTCCTTCATGTAAGACAATAAGTAGTTTAGCTTTGCAAGTCGGACCTTTGGGAGCAATCCCCAATCCCCAGTTCCCACCTTTAAGAAATGAAGGAGTCGCTACTCTTAACTCCAATTTGATATTGTCTTTTTAAGCAAAACTAGATCGATATAACTCATTTCTGTTACCTAAACAACCACCTTGACAAGCAAATAGTTTGTGACAAGTGTTTCTAATTAGGTTTATATGCTTGTGAATTGTGATTAGATTCAATCAGCGGGAGCTATCTAATACAACTTACCCCTCAAGAGATGGTATATATAAGGCGACTAATGCCAGCTCTTATGAGTTGGGTGGCCTCACTTGTGTCGCTCAATTGTTGGCATGCCCATATGATACCTTCATTATCTTCACAAATACTTGGCGCATATTAGTGAATGTGGATGTCAATTTGCTTAGTTGATTAAGTCTTGGGGTGTTATTAGATTGAATTCATTTTACATCATTGCAAGGCTCACATCCTAATCATTAATTAGTTTTGCTATAAAGATTAATTATACTGATTATATCTTGCTGCATTTATATATTTGAAGACGGAACAAATTTAGAGTTTGATTTACTTACAAGTCCAAAGGAGGTTTCATATTAAATACTTGTATAATTGGTATGGTAATAGTTGAGTAGCTTATTTAATATATGAGGTGGTATATTTCATTTCCTTTAACTAATTAATGTGAGATAACTCGCATGTAGATAACAATGAAGTTTCAACAACCATTCAACCATCGATCTAATACAAGTATATGATAAACCTAAAACATACTTTGTATTTCCTTCGTTTAATTTTAGTTTTAATTTTTACGCTATTCACAAATTATGGTTTGATTATATGACATATATAGAGTAAAAAAAATGTACTCTAATAATTTTGAGGGATATTGTTGATTTCATCTTTTCAACATATCAGCTTTTATTTTTTACTTTGTAAATAACTTTCACATAGTAATTATGATTGAAGTTATGTATTAGCAAGCATGAAAAATATAAACGTTACACTAAATATAAAAAATATTCATATGCTCCATTTGTTTTAAAAAAATTCACATAACCTCTTTAATTTGGAAAAATAATACTTTAATTCCAATTATGGGCGATTTACTTCTAATAATCTCAACTAATGTTTATTTTTTTAATAATCCCAACTATGCTATGCGTTTGCCTCCAACGGTCCCAACCGGTCAACATTAAGTCAACAATCTGTTATAACCAGTGATCATGATACGTGTAAACACATGATTGGTCTAAAATTTTTAAAAAATTAAAAAAAAAAAAAAAAAAACCATAAAAAAAAAAAAAAAAAAAAAATTTCCCCAGACACCCTCTCCTCACCCCCTAACCTTGTCTAAAACCCTAACTTCACCCCCTAACCTTGCCGAAAACCGACCGACCACCCTCCCTTAACCACCGAAAATGGCCGGCCCTCTACCAACCATCCGACCCACCCCGACCCCCAAACCTCATGAGTTTGTGCTTTGCTCTATTTTTGGGCTGCTTTGGTGGTCGAAATTTGCGTAGCTGCTGTTGTAAATTGGTAATGTGGCTGAGATGCGGAGGCTGAGGTATTTGGTGGTCAGTGCGCTGCTGGGCGCTAGATCTATTATTGTTGTTGTTTGCAAGTGGTAGCAAGGGTTGTAGAGGAGCTACGGTGGCGGCTAGGGGCTGGAGTTGTTGTGGTTTCCATGAGTCGAGGTGGGTCGGGTTGGTGGTTTTTGGGGTCAGGGTGGGCTGGGTGGGTGGTTTCGGGGGTCGGGAGTGGGTCTGTTGGGATAGTAAAGGGCTGGCCTGCCGGTTTTGGTGGTTAAGGAGGGTGGCCGGAAAGGGTTTGGCAGTGGAGGAAAGGTGGCTGGGGAATTTTTTATTTTATTTTATTTTTTAAATTTTAGACCAATCATGTGTTGATATGTGGCTAATAAAATCGAAAAAAAAAAAAAAAAAACTCTTTCAACAAGTTACCGGTCATTAGGACCATTGAATGCAATCACACAACATAGTTGGAATTATTAGAAGTAAATCGCTCATAATTGAGATTATTAATGTGTATTTTTCTCTTTAATTTTGATACGTTAGCCATTGTGTTATGGAGGTACTCGTAATATGCAAAATTCACAATACCCTCTTTTGTTTTTGGAAAATGTGTCACTAGGTTTTTGTTGAATGATCTAAAAATTAGTACTAGTATTACATACGACAATCTCTTCTTTTTCCTCGTGCATTTCACCAATTGTACTAGTAATGCTTAAAAAAAAGAAAGAAAGAAAATCAATCATAGTGATTAGACTCCATTTAGAATTTTCCTATGAAGGCCATTGGAGCAATATAAATGAAAATAATTAAGGAGTGTGACATGAAATTGAATAGTTACAAAAATTAGACATTTAGACAAGTCAAAAGATGTAAGAGTAACATTATGTTAGCGTGTCTCCCTCGCCCAATTGTTGGAATAGGTACATTATGATACGACATGAATGAATGAAGTTAATTTAACACACATGGATGGATGAATAGATGATAGATTGATAGCACCTGGAGATTTTGACTATTTCCATATTACTAGGCTACGACCTATTCGACATTATGTTTCAGTATTGTCCATTTTATCAAGTTTATGTGCATGACTTGGACAAGTCCGTATTTGGTGCATAATTGGCTGTGAATGATTAAATAAGTTTAAAGGAAAATAAATATTCTAATTTCATCATTTTTAAAAAATCGAACGTTGAAAATTTTACGCTTGTCAATTTTTAAAATTATAGTATTAACTAATAAAAAGATACGGAGTATTTTGTATTTTTCCACCTTTAAAAGGCCATTTTTTTTTATTATTATTATTTAAGTGCCTTTTTTAATATCATTTAAAAAAGTACATTTCACGACCTTTAACAGTTTTCATAAAAAAAAAAAGTAAAAAAAGTTTCTATCAAGAAAACTATTAAGTGTCATTTTTCAGTCCTTTTTTAAAAAAAATTCCTCCATTTCCATGACAATAATTTGTTCAACTATGGTTTATATAAGTCATTTTGACTTCTAAAGGCTGAGTTTGAGATCAAAATTGACAAAAAAAAATATTGGATATGTCTCATTTTACTTGCTAAGAAATACTTCGGTTTGTGTGACACTATTTCCATGCTGAAAAAATTGTTCCGTTAGGTTTTTAGGGCCATTTGAGTTTTAAGGGTCCGATTTGAGGCCAAAACTGATAAAAAAATTATAGCATCGTTTTGCGTATCAAGGAATGCCTCAGTTTGCTTTATGCTTAAGGCCTTGTTTGGTTGACAAGGGAAATAAAATTTTCATAGGAAGTTGTATTTCATGGGAAATTATTTCCCAAATGAAATTCTTAGGAATTTCTTTAAGTTATTTAGTTGTGACAATGGGAAGTTGGAATTTCAATGAATTTTGATTGACCAGGGGGAGCTAACTAAATTACTTCCTATGCTTTGTGGGAAGTAGAAATTCTCATGATTTCCAACTTCCCATTTTTGCTTTTTTGTGTCAACCAAACATCTACCCAAATTACAAAATCCCATGAATTTTCACTCCCCCCATTTTATTTTGTCAACCAAACAAGCCATAAATTTTTATTTAGTTTTGGCATCAAATTAAGTGCCAAAATGACATCATAAACCATAGTAGAGCAAATTTCCAACACTGAACAATGTTCTTGATTAAAATTGTTAACTAGTGGTGAATCTAATTTTTTTTTTTTTTTTTTTGTCTTTTTTAGATGGTTGAATTAAATAAAAAAAAAAATGTGGTTGAATAAAAAATAAATATAAAATTGGACTTTATTTACCAAAAAATGGGCTTTTTAGGGATGGTACAATACTACATATCCATTTGATAATAAAATTAGGTGATATTTTAAAAGTATTTTTAAGACGAATTTAATGAGATCTCACGTGACTATGCATATAAAGCACAAATTACATAAAAGAGTGTGTAAATATTGTAAAATTTCTAATGTTACGATTAAAAAAACGGAGAAAATAAATCACCATCACGATAGATCGCTTCAAATAATCATGCTCTAACAAAAGTGTACTACGTCTGTTGTTCTCTTTTAATCCTTCGTTGCAATAGTTTCTTTTATGCTTGTTGATACATAACCTTGAGTATGAACATACTTTTGTATTTAATCATCAATAAATCATCTTGGTTGAAATTTTTTTGAATAGTGACAAATTTCAATCTCTTACAATTAAAAATGAATATCAAAAAGTAAGGAATTTAATATGGAGAGGTTTAAAAAAAAAAAAATGCCATTCAAAAATTTGTAGGTGGTGATTTTTTTTTTTACCAAGATCACGATTCACGAGGATCACGTACTCACGTAGTAGTGTATAGAAAACAATATACCATTCACCAAGGTAGATATTCCCCTCTCAAAAAAAGAAGTATGCAAAATTATTGGACTAGTGAGGTTTCCAGGCAGTGAAAAAGTAAAAATAGCTAGGTTTGGAGTTGCACGAACAAAAGTCCAACAACACTAGACTATTAGGTATAGTGTAGGAACGTAGGTGGTGTTGTAGTTTAGGTTTACTTCCACTGTTTATCTTTTGCATTAATCTACGCAATTGCCGGTAAAACACATCTTATGTTATTTTTAACTTTATCATAATTATTATTTATTATTATATGCTTGGCTGGATTAATTGCATCCGGTGTAAATTATTGTGCTTTTCTGTTGAGTAATTAGGTTTTGATGATTGTAAATTAATCATGATTATCTATCTAACGTGTATGTTAAGTTGTGCATAGAAAGAACAAGATATGCTCGGAACAAGATATAAGGAACTTGAGCAATGACAAGAGTATATATAAGGAACTTGAGCAATATATGATAAGCAATAGAAGGGAACAAGATTAATGATGTATGGTTAATAAGCTTGATGATGGTTAAGGAACACATGAAGGTAACTATGTAAATAGGTGTTTGCATATGTTAACTTCATGAGGTAAGTACCCTACGTAGGAAATATGACCAATAGCAATTAAAATATTTAAAAGGCTTATCTGGAAAATGTCGTGGCGTGACAATAGATCACTGCCCTAAAGTTGAATTTGCCCCGCAGGTACACACAGACTCGTAGCAATCGACCTCCAGAGATACACGACTCCAACTCTTCGGTGTACTACGGAGAGTTAGATTGAAAACACCTTTGAACAATGCTCAATAGAAAAGGAGGTCATAAAAGAATCATTTTAAGAGATGATATTTTTCCCTTTTCCTGTGTCTAAAGGAGATGTTTATATAGCTATGAGAGTGAACCAGATACAACGAATCTGGTCACAAATTAGACCAAATATGGCTAGCATTTAAATACTCCAATTAAGTTAAAAGCAATTTGACTTATTGAGCATAAATCAAGGAATTGGCTTAATTTTGGAAGTAATGAAAAATACGTTGACAAGGGAGAAATTAACTCATTTGAAGCACAATTTATTTGGAGTTCTCTACCTAAATTCCAACACCCTATGCCTACACGAGTCGTATATGCGTAAGAGTATTTACGTGGCTTTAAGTTTCATTACTTCTCTCACTTGAAGTTTGTTTATGACAAACTTCAATCTAATGTTCTCTTAAGTGTTTATGTGAAAACAGGAACTGACTTAGGTGCAGTCAATGGGTTGGAACATAGAAGACTTTAAGAGAAACAAGAGAGAATGAATGAACCTAAAGCAGGTTCTCCCACGAGAACCAAACCACGAAGGAACCTGAAGGTACACGGCGGACAGCTCCCTAACAAGAGAGCAAGTGACAACAAGTTCCAGAAAGAAACCTGGTCTGCGAGTTCCAACAGGGAATGAAGAAGAGTGACAGCAAGTTCCAGAAAGGAACTTGGTTTGCAAGTTCCAATAAGGAACGAACAAGGGTGACAACAAGTTCCGGTTAGGAACTTGACCTGCGGTTCCAGAAGTGGAACGTTGCCCAAAGATTCATAATACATCAAGACTACAAGATTCCAGAACAAGAGTTTCAGAGAAGCAACATGAAGACGGAGAAATTGAAGTATATTACTCTAGGTTTCGTGTAAGTATGTTGGACATAAAAGTCGGTTTGGAACAAGTCTATGGAACTAAGGTGAACTCTAGACAGTCAATGAAATTAGAGTTACTAACTCGTCAGGAACTCAAACTGTCAGAGTTCCGAACCACATAGGAACTTAGGTCTGCACGTCTTTAAAAGTCGGTTTTAATGATATATATTTACCTAATATGTGCATATCTTTTAAGGATTTGGTTTTACTGAATATAGATATTTATTTTCTAATAAATCCCTTTTGAAAAAAGATAAGTTTGTTTGGAAAGTATTTTAACTAAAAGATAAGTTTTGATAAAATATGATTTTAATTTAATTATATCTTATTATTATTGACAGAATTTATTTTTAACAAAAGATATATTTTTGGAAAACTTATTTTTAGAAAATATCTTTTAAACATATCTTTTACGAAAAGAATCATTTGTGTGTACTATAAATATGCTCATATGTATTCATTCAAAGGTTGAGGCTGGCGAAGTGCAGTGGTCGTGCTTAATGGTTTCATCCTTCACCACGAACTCACGAAGCTAAGTTAGTCCTTCTGGTCAAAGTTCCTGTCAGGTTTTGCTTTCAGTTCGTCCAGTCAGTTTCAGACAGATCTCGAGTGTCCAGCATATTAGTTTTATCTCTTTATTCAATTATATGTATTTAGAGTTATTCTTTGAGATCTTGTAATGGGAAAAAGGGTTTGTGTGTTTTCTTGTATTGGGGTGTGAGAGTTCGTGAGGATTCTCGTTATTGTAATTGAGATATTGCAGAGTATGAGCTTCAAGGGTGAGGCCGAGTGAGTAGTGCTCCGGGAGTACTATTGGGGACTTGAATCTGGGATTTAAGTTGAGTGAGGAACAGTTACGTTCCCGGTGAGTTACAGGTAGGAACTAGGCAACAAGTTCAGTCAGGAATTTGTGAGAAAGGTCTGATTGTAATAGGTTGTAACTAGGAGTGTTTGGCCAATTATAGTGAAGTGTTTGAGTTGAAAATCCCTTAGAGGGTTGAGGTTTTACTTCCAATTGAGCCTTGGAAGGTTTCCTCGTAAAATCCGCTTTGCATTGTCTAAGTTCCTAACAACAATCAGTTTTATATTCCGCGAAAAATAGGCACTAAGGCACTTACTACTAGGGATGTACAGAGTGCAATTTAGACCGCACCAAACCGCAAACCAAACCGCAATTTTGCGGTTTGGTGCGGTTTGAAAATTGTGGTGCGGTTTTTGAAAATGACTAAACAGTGGTTTGCGGTATCAAAAATATTTAGACCAAATCGCACCGCAAACCGCACTTTAATGCGATTTGCGGTTTTTTACTATGTTTTTATTAAAAAAATATAAAAGAACTAAAATATATGAGCAAGCTAATCTTTGACTATTAGTTAATTAAAGGCTAAAAAAAAGAGTTTAATATGT